AGATAGATAGATAGATAGATGGATGATAGACCGATAGATAGATGGATGATAGACCGACAGATAGATAGACAGACAGACAGACAGACAGACAGATAGATAGATAGATAGATAGATGGATGATAGACCGATAGATAGATAGATAGATAGATCGATCATTCATTTAGCAAGACAGACAAACTGAGACAGAGAGAATTCTCTTGACTCTTGCACCGAGAAAAATCTGACCCTATATTTGTTCCTGATTTGGGTTCAACTGTGTTCTATAGTATTTCAGAAAATATTCTGTCCCTTGTCTCTCGCGTCAAAACGTGAATCACCGCCTGAGAAACTGACAGATATCAGCTCCAGAAGGACTCTGATTTGAGCATTTATTCAAGTCAAAAGCAGCTTTTTATTGTTTAGTATCTGCGTCCTCTGTGAGGAGAGAAAGGTCACAGTGATAGCATGGACTTTAATGTATCTTATCGTTAGCTATGCATCGAGATGCGGCCTCAGTCATGAGATGCTCATCCCTACCATGAAAATGTCTCAGTTCAAACTCATCCGTCTTACCGTTAACCGGTTGCCGGCGTCGACCTCGATCATTCCTCGCAGAAGGTTCTGGCAGTCCGGTGGGATAAAATGGGGCATGTGAAAGACACCCAGCTTGACTTTTTCTAACAAGTTTCTTAAATTATCATCGTCAAACGGCAGAGCCCCCTAAACGAAAGACACAGAAATTCTGAGTAAATAAGGCTGGAGAAGAAGAACAAATTAGAAGAAAAGTGCTCAAACGATTGACCCATAAATGCAAAGTTTTCATTAATTAACTCTCGCTTCACTGCTTTTTCTTATGTAAGGGGTCTGTCGGTACTGCTGACATGCTACAGCTGAGGGTGATGAGGTTTCATTTTCATTTCTGATGAAAAACAAAACAGAGGAATAACAAAAAACAAAAGAGACAGGACGAGAGCATAAATGCACTCCAATCATTTTGGATCTGAGAGGATTTTGTGCATTCAGCATCGAGTCTGTCAGAAGTCAATTTTATTTTTGGTTTTGGTGCTGTCTGCCTTTCCACAGCAGGTGAATGTATATTTCATAAAGGGACGATCGAATGAACTTCAGCAGAAAAGAAATGAAAAGAAAAGAAAAGAAAAGAAAAGAGTTCTGATGAAAAACAAAACAGAGGAATAACAAAAAACAAAAGAGACAGGACGAGAGCATAAATGCACTCCAATCATTTTGGATCTGAGAGGATTTTGTGCATTCAGCATCGAGTCTGTCAGAAGTCAATTTTATTTTTGGTTTTGGTGCTGTCTGCCTTTCCACAGCAGGTGAATGTATATTTCATAAAGGGACGATCGAATGAACTTCAGCAGAAAAGAAATGAAAAGAAAAAAAAAGAAAAGAAAAGAGAAGAGAAGAGAAGAGAAACAAACATGAGATGAGACAAAAGACACATTGAGATATGAAGACACTGAGAGATGAGACAAAAAGAAATGCAATGAGATGAGGCCAAATAAAAAATAAAAAAACAGAAGAGACAAAATGAGATGAGATGAAAGAAGACAAGCCAAAAGAAATGTAATGAGACAAAATAAGAGACAAAAATGAGACGAGACAAGGAGAAACTGAGAAAGTGAGATGCAATGAGATTAGAGAGGAAAATAGAAGAGATGAAATAATATGGAACAAGACCAAACAGAAGACAAAACGAGGTGTAATGAGATGCCAACAATGAGATGAGTTAAGGTGACACAAAACGAGATGGAATGAGATGAGACTAGAGAGGAAAACAGAAGAGACAAGACAATATGACACAAGACCAAATGAGACAAGACACAATAGGTAAAATAAAAGTAGAGAATAGACAAAAATTAGACGAGGTGACATTACAATAAATGAGACTAGATTAGATGAGACAATATGAAAAAAGTGCAGAGACAAAATGAGACAAGATGAGATGCAATATGATGAGACAAAATGAATGAAGAGAATAGTCAAACTGAGATAAGCAGAGGTGACACGAGATGAGACAAATTAAATGAGAGAGGAAAACAGAAGAGACAAAACAATATGACACAAGACTAAACAAAAGAAGACTAAATTAAAAAAAGAGACAAAATGAGACAGGATGAAACAAGGTGACAAGAGTTGAGATAAAATGAAATGCAGATGAGATGAGACAGAAACTAAAAGAAAAAAATATTTGAAATGAGAAAACATGAAAAAAGAGCAGAGACAAAATAAGACAAGATGAGGTGAAATAAGAAAAGACAAAAAGAGGCGCAAAAAGCTGAGACAAAAACAAAGAAGAGAATAGATAAAAATGAGACAAGGTAAGGTGACATGAGATGAGACAAAATGAGATTAGATGAGAGAAGAAAACGGAAGAAAAGAGACAAAACAACATGGGACAAGATCAAAATGAAATGGAATAAGACGTGACAAAATGAAAGAAGACAATAGAAAATGCAAGCTGACATGTGAAGATATGAGATGAAAGAGGAAAACAGAAGAGACAAAACAATGAGACGAGACCAAACAAAATGAGACAAAATGCAATAAGATGAGACAAAGTGAAAAAAGCACAAAAATGAGACGAGACGAGGTGACGTGAGATGGAAAATAAGATGCAATGAGATGAGAAAAGAAAACAGAAGAGACAAAACAATGAACGAGACCAAACAAAACAAGACATATTGAGATGCAATATGATGAGACAAAATAAGAGACAAAATGAGACGAGATAAGGAGACGTGAGATGAGAGAAAATGAGATGGAATGAGATGAAATGAGATTAGAGAGGACAACAGAAGAGACAAGACAATATGACAAGACCCAATAGGCAAAATAAAAGTAGAGACAAGGTGACATGAGATGAAATGAGATTAGAACATAAGATACAAAACCAGATGGCAAGACCAAGAAAAAGACGAGATCACATGATCCCTACAAAACTAATTGAGATGAAATAAGACGAGACAAAAAGACAAAAGAGGAGAGACAAGATGAGGTGATGCAAGAAAAGAAAAGCAATGTTGAGCTGAAGTTCCTGAGTGGTTGTTTGAATGCAATGTGCAGCTCTAGTCTGTTCTGAAGTCATAGAAGCTCTCTGAATGATCTCTGAAGAAATGACTCCGTCATCATCATTTCTAGAACGTCAAAAACAATCCAGCTCGGCTTTAAAATGCAGGCCAGTGGCTCTGTGTGGAGAGATAAACCTCTCAGACTCAAGGGTCTCAATTTTACTCTCAAAATTGAACAAGAGCATTTCAAATGAGCTGGAACTCTCGGGGATACTGCTGCGGTTCAGATGCGCAGGTAAAACATTTCGAATAAAATCGGCTAATAATGCAGTGCAGAGGTGCGTCCCATACTTGCTCCAAATTGTATTGTCTTTGGGACTTAGAAACATCAATTCCCAGCCTTCATTCAAATATGCGTGTTCATTTCCACAAAATACCATTTCTGATAAAAAAGGATGGCTGATAACATTCTGAAAACGTGAGTTTAACTTTAATATCCATCACACTGTCAAAACAAGCAACATAATACAATGTGTTTGAATGTTGTTTATGTCTTTCTACACAATTTAAGCGAACTGAAGAGAAGATATTTGCCATAATCAAGATATAGTTCACGCAAAAATGAAAATTCTGTCAAACCTCCATGACTTTCCTTTACCAAAAGGAGATATTTGGTTGTCATGTTCATGCTGCTCTTTTCCAAACACTAAAACACTTTTTCCAAACACTTTTTTTTTAATATTTAATGTTTCTCAGAATAAATGTAGTCATATGAGTTTAGAACAGCAAGAAGGTGAGTAATTGTTGGCAGAAATGTTATATTTGGGTGAACTATTCCTGTAAGGTAAAGTCTGGAGTGACTCACCACCAACAGAGCAAACAGAATGACCCCACAGCTCCAAACGTCTGCTTTCCTTCCGTCATACTTCTCTCCCTAACAGAGACAAGACAAAGTCAAAATGCAATCCTTCTGATTCCAGATCAGGTCACACATTCAGAGTTCTCTGTTTTTTTACTTCCACAAAGCAGAAAGTCTGACAGTCAGGCAACACTCACCCGGATGACTTCAGGACACGCGTAATGAGGAGATCTGTGAAAAGACAACATCAGCTTGAGTTACCCACAGTACTCACTGCTATTCATCTCTCAACATGTTTGTCTTATTTTAATTATTTTACATTTGTAATCCCCCCCCCAAGGTTTTTATCCTTCATTAAACAGCCTTTGCTGCCAAGTACAGTAAAATGTTTAAAGCAAGACATTTTACAGTAAAAGTGCAATTTTACAATAAAAATAAAATATTATAATTGTTTTCCATACAAAATGTCTCAATATATAGTGATTTTTTAATTATAAATAAATAATATAAAATCAAATTGTATAAAACATTTACATTTAATTACATGTAATCAATATTTATCATGTGAGAATATTTTTTATTTATTTATTTTATTTTTTTGCAGCACTGTAACAACACATCACCATATCATTTTAATAACATATTTTTAAAAAGCATCTCGGGGACTCGTATTTTGAACAGATTCGCTGAAACAAACTATTTAAAAGTACTGATCTGCAGTACAAAAATACAGGGGGGACTGTATATAAAATGGTTGTAATTCCTAAGCATTTTATCTTATATTTTTGTTCAACCTCTTGAATTAAAGCTTAAAATCTGCACTTCAATTTCATCTTGTTTGTTTTATTTTAATTCTATTCTGGTGGCATACAGAGCCACCCGAAATTATGAAAATTGTGTCATTGTCCAAATATATATGGACCTAACTGTAGACAGACAGACAGATAGACAGATAGACAGACAGACAGACAGACAGACAGACAGATAGATAGATAGAACAACAGACAGACAGACAGATAGATAGATAGATGATAGATAGATAGATAGATAGTAGACAGACAGACAGACACAGACAGACAGACAGACAGATACATAGATAGATAGATAGATAGATAGATAGATAGACAGACAGACAGACAGACAGACACACAAGTATTTAAAAAAATTATATACACAATATATTTCAACAATTTATAAAACAATATCATAAAGAGAGAGTTTTATAAATTGTTAAAAATATACTATATATAAAATCCAATTAAAAATTACGTTAAATCACAGCTGTGGTGCTCATTGGGATGACGGTGGTTCGAGTCTGACCTGCAACATCTCCTAGACTCTTTTGAATAATTTTAGTCACTATACTATTTCTGTCAAATAAACATATAAAACCATAGAAGACAAGCTGTAATTCCCCAAAGTAAACGTGCTCTGAATTTCAGTAGACGTTTCCCATCTGCACTGATCCGTGACGTGCGATACTGTTTGCTCAGAATGATTAATATCAAGATCTGGTCGGAGGGACAAAGATACACTAAAGACGACGATAACATCTTCCCAGAGTAATTAGGGTCACAAAATGTTGACGGTACTTCCTGTTTCACCAGCTGACATTCTGTCTACATTAATCTTTCTTGACAAATCCTCTTCTACAACAGTGTTGTGCATCTGCGCATAACGCTCTTCCCATCGACGCAAGTGTGAACGTGTTTTTTCAGAGATAAACAGGCACGTTCAGAGTTAATCACATTATTTGGAGAGTTTCTCAGTGAGCTGTCAGCATCTCCCATGATCCCTGGAATACCTTCACAAGCGTGCGGCTATGCAAATATGAATATCCTGTTAGCGAGAGCTTTGGCTTATCATCTAATGTATTCAACTTGAAGAACTCCAGCTGCATACAGAAACACTAGAAACGTCAAGAGAAAAGAGAACGACGAGAGATGATGTGGAGACGTAGGAGGAAGACCTTCATGTAAGGAAGCTTGTTTCTGCCATAGAATAAAATTCAGACTTTTTTTTTGCGATTGCGAGCTTATATCTCAATTTTTTAAAAGAATTTCTCAGAATTGTTATCTCAGAATTCATATCTTGTAATTCTGTTTTTGTTGTTGTTGTTTCCGCCATGGAATTAAAAATAAAAACGGTAATTGCATTCTTTTTCTCTCACAATTTTTACTTTTTTTTCCTCTCAATTCTCTGTGCATATTGCAATTCTGTTTTTAGTGTCCGCCACAGAAATAAAAATAAAAACGGTAACTGACTTTTTTACCATAGAATTGCGAGTATCTAGTAATTCTGTTTTATCCCAAAATACGGACATTTTTTCCTCACAATTGTGAATTCATACCTCACAATTTGGACTTCTCTTTTTAAAATTGCAACTTCTTATCTCATAATTTAGATATTTTTTTCTCGCAAATTATATATAACAATTCTAACTTTTTTCCCTCAGAAAAGTTTACATCTCACAATTACAAGTTATAAACTTGTACTTGTAAGTTTACATCTTATAATCTTGATTTTTTTTCTCTGAATTCAGAGGTTACAGGACATTTCATAATTCTATTATTTTGTTTGCACCACAGAATAAAAACAAAAAAGGTAATTGCAACTTTAAATCTGACAATTCTGACTTTTTTTCTCTTGATTACAAGCTTATATTTTACATTTAGTTATTTTATTCTCGACATTGTTTATATCTCACAATTTAATTTTTTTATGAAATCAGAATTTGCACATTATTATTTTCAATTTTGAGAAGAAAAGTGTGTATTGTGAGATATAAACTTGCAATCATGAGGAAAAAAGTCAGAATTATAAAACTGCATTCAACGTTTTTTATTGTTGAAAACAAAATAATAGAATTGAGGGATACAATCTCAGAATTCAGAGAAAAAAGTCCAAATCGGAAGTTAATGTTGAAATTTCGAGTTTGTATCTCGAAATTGTGAGAATTTGAGAAAAATGTCAGAATTTTGATTTAAAAATAAATATATAAAATTATAATTGTGAGATAAAAAGTTGCAATTAGTTTATTTATTTCCCGTGGCACCCGTGGCAGAAATAATTTTGAGTTTGCAGAAAGGCACTATATAAAATAAACGTATTATTATTATTATTATTATTAGTATAAGCTTTCATATTTATGGACAACTCCGAGAGAAAAAGTAGAATGGTGTAATAATTCTGACTTTATCTCAGATAGAGTTGCCAAAGCACATGGCATCTTCCAGAATACTCTACAAATATGCATCACAAAAGTGTTTTTCATAACTCGTAAGTCGGTTCTCGGACTGGTGAATTTATTGATTCTAACATGCATCTGCCATTATGCGTTTTATAATAAAACATTGCTGAATCTGTTCAGTAAACGTCAAACTCTAAAAAGACTCAAACTCAAAAATCATTGCCCTCAACACATTAGCCTCGACGGGACTTTTGCTTATTACGACTCTGAAGCGTAACGCTCGCAGCATTTCAGTGTTTTCCTCCGCAGCAGGTGCGTTAAATCGCAGGTATTAAAACGAATCGGATGTTTTAAGGCCGTAAAATGTTTTCATTGTTTATGTTGATGAGGAAGGCAAGTTAGAGATAAAAATACAGCCATTAAGGGATGAGTTTATGGAGGACCCCTGCAGCGCGTGGTGCCAGATCATTTATCTACTCCAAGCTGTTTGCTAAAGCTCATTTCCTCGCTCATTTCTGCAAAACTCGTCAACCAATGACAGGCAGATATGAGATGACTCATTACTGATGTGGGTGTGTGAACCATCAGACATATGAGTTCAAACGTCTTTTGGTACGATGTACAATGATCATTAAGCCAAAACAGTGCGTGGTAATAGGGACATGACAATAAACATCATAAACTCCAGAGGAAGGCATCCATGAAGCTCTGAATCAATAAAGCCTGTATTATTTCGAGAGTGTAGGTCAGACTCCGAGACAAAGTGGGGCTGTTTCTGAACGAACGAATGAATGAATGAACGAACAAACAAACGAACAAATGAACGAACGAATGAATGAATGAACGAACAAACAAACGAACAAATGAACGAACGAATGAATGAATGAACGAACGAACAAACAAACGAACAAATGAACGAACGAATGAATGAATGAACGAACGAACAAACAAACAAACGAACAAATGAACAAATGAATGAATGAACGAACAAACAAACGAACAAATGAACGAATGAATGAATGAATGAACGAACGAACAAACAAACGAACAAATGAACGAACGAATGAATGAATGAACGAACAAACGAACAAATCATGATTACAGAAATATTTCCCATTGCATTTATTTGATTTTATTTAAATTATCATATACAAAATGCATGCATACAAATTGCTTATAATCAGAAAACATTCTCTTAATTTGCTGCCCTATTTTTTTTATTTTTTTTTTTATTGTTATTTTAAATTTTTTACATTTATTTTTATTAATTTTATTTTTTAAACCAAAGTATTATGATCAAAGCAAAACAAAACATGATGTTTTGAGAGTAAAAATCTTTCCTGTTTAATTAATTTGATTTTATTTGAATTTTCACAATGTACTGCTTCGAACTGAATCAATATAAATCTGTTTATTGTGAAAACAATTAAATTTATGCATTTAAAAAGTTTATGTTAAATTTGGCTAGCTGTGTAACATGCAATATTTAATTAGTTAAATGAGACTGAGACAAATGGGTTTGATAAATTATAAATATATATATACAGTATAACCCAATTTATGCTGTATAAACAGTAGTTAAAAAACACATTTACTTGATAAGTAATATTACAGAAATCTTACCAGTATCATCTATGTATGCCTAACAAATATGCATCACATTAAGTTTATTAGTTTATGTTAAACTGTGTAAACCAAATGGATGGACATTTTATATGCAACTCATTTACATCAATCTTAAATTTAGACCTAAAGATTTTCAGTCTGAGCTGAAGGCATTGACTGTCCTGATCATTAGTGTTATAATGACACTCGGTTTCACTCACCCACAGCTGGTTTCCAGCAGACTGTCTCCCACCTGCAGGGATGCCATGCCGAAATCTGCTATCCTGATGTTATTCTTCTCATCCAGCAACAGGTTCTCCGGCTTCAGGTCCCTGTGACTGTACAAGAGCAAATGAGATGTGAAAACTGCAGCTTGAGTTCTCACAGTAACACTGTATATTACAGTATGCCTTGTATCAGCTAGACTAGTTGCGTCTCTGAACTTGTAATGAGATGCTTTTCAATTATCTCCGTTTCTTCTGTTTCTATCTTTCAGCACTACTCAAATGAGATGTGAAAACTGCAGCTTGAGTTCTCACAGTAACACTGTATATTACAGTTGGCCTTGTATCAGCTAGACTAGTTGCGTCTCTGAACTTGTAATGACATGCTTTTCAATTATCTCTGTTTCTTCTGTTTCTATCTTTCAGCACTACTAGTCTACAAGAGCCTGTGGGAGCCGGTCATGACAGATGTGTCAGAGTGTGATGTTAAGTGCTCATCTGACCACAGGCGGACATGAATTAGCAGCTTCCAACCATTCAAAACTTTCTCTTAATTAATTTGCTGCCCCACTTTTTCACTGTGTGAAGCAAGAGGATTTTGTACAAAAGAAACAAAAGTATTGTAAAAAAACAAAACAAAAAAAAACAAACAAAGGAAAAACAAAACAAAAAACCCAAGCAAGGCAAAACAACACAAAACAAAGCAAAATAACAAAAACAAAAAACAAAGTAAAACAACACAAACAAACAACAAAACAAAAAACAAAGCAAGGCAAAACAGTACAAAAAAAAAACACAAAAAAAAAATTACGAAACAAAAAGCAAAGAGGCAAGGCAAGGCAAAACAACACAAAACAAAGCAAAATAAAAAACAAAACAAAAGCAAAACAAAAAAACAAAGTAAAACAACACAAACAAACAATGAAACAATCAAAGTTCATTGGCTGCTTCCACATGACTGACTTCCCATTAAAGTGCACATTTTTTAAACTCAACTGGACATTTATGAATAAAAGCAACGCAAAGAGTTTTTAAAATTTGATTTAGAATGATTAATGCATTTTTTTCTACTTGAAATTATAGACTTTTACAGCATTGCAAAATATTTCTTTTTCAAATAAATTATGCTCTTTTGGACTTTCTATCAGTTTTATTTAGTATGAGATATAGAAATTTTACTAGCATTTTTATTAATATTTTGAAGTACTTTTTATTTGCATATTTTTCATTTTAATATACATAAAAATTACTAATTTTGTTGTGTGTTTTTGACATTATCATTTTGAAAAATTTTCTATACATTAATTTTCTATTCAGTGTATATATATATATATATATATATCAAGGCAAAGTTTAACTATTTTAATAGGTTTTTTTATGGTATTAGTTTTAGTCAACTATACTGTAATAACACTGCTTTCTATTAATCAAAGAATCCTGAAATAAATGATCGTGATTTCCACAAAGACATTAAGCAGCACAGCTGTTTTCATCATTGATAATAATAATTAATGTTTCTTGAGCAGCAAAACAAAACAAAAAATGAAACAAAAAACAAAGCAAGGCAAAACAGTGTAAAACAAAACAAAAAATGAAACAAAAAACAAAGCAAGGCAAAACAGTGTAAAACAAAACAAACAAAACAAAGAAAGGCAAAACAAAGCAAGGCAAAACAGTACAAAAAAAACACAAAACAAAGCAAAATAACAAAACAAAAAGCAAAACAAATATAAAAAACATAAAAACAAAAAGCAGAGCAAAGCAAAAAAATAAAATAAACAAGCAAAAACAAACAAAAAACAAAGCAAAACAACACAAACAAACAACAAAACAATGCAAAACAAAAACACAAAAGCAAAAAAGCAAGGCAAAACAACACAAAACAAAGCAAAAACAAAAAACAAAGTAAAACACAGCATATTAGAATGATTTCTGAAGATCATGTGACACTGAAGACTGGAGTAATGATGCTGAAAATTCAGCTTTGATCACAGGAATAAATTAAATTTTACATATTCAAATAGAAAACAGCTATGTTAAATCACAATAATATTTCAAAATATTACTGTTTTTTTTTCCTTCAAATAAATGCAGCCTTGATGAGCAGAAGAGACTTCTTTTGAAAATACTGAAAATTTTATATAAAAAACATAATTTATTAGTTGATTTTGTGATGAAATATGTAGCAGACATTTCTGGACAGTTTTCATGAGATCTGCCTAATTAGTAACTACTTCTGACAGTTCACAATTTAGATGAAGCAAAATAAGCAGCTGATATGTGATGCACACTGTGACAGTTTTATGAGTTAAAGATGTACATTTATAATGATGAAAAACAGGATATTTTTTGCTCGTTTGAATCAAATATACTGAATATTCACTCTTCAAGACAAAGCTCCTTGCTAGTCTGTCCCAACAGTTTGCAGAGATGCTGTTACTCATTTCACATAAAAATAAAAATAAAAATCATAACAGACCAATCATAAAAAAGCCAATCATAAGGGACATGATTCATTTATTGAAGTGTTAAAGGTACAGTAGCAAAAACCTGTTTAATATGGGTCAGAGAGAGGATGGAAAATGCTTATAAAGAACTAAATTACAACCAACAAAGCTTAACTAGCAATATAACTGGAGTTCAGGAGAACAAAATAAAATACAAACATCTAGACAGACCCTAATAAGTGTAATCACCATATATAATATCATCTGACACAAATACAAATGCATTTGTGACTCTGCTGAGATGTGCTTTCATTTCCTACATTCATTCATCTTTACAGGCAACTCTGGAGTACATTGAAAATAGATATTTTAGGCCTAAATTTAAGATTTATGCATTTGAATTGCACATATTTTTTCATCCATTTGAATTACAGAGTTTTAACATAAAGAAACTAACAAAATGTGTTGCAGCAAATTAAATTAGTTACAGAATAAAACTAAATCATGATTACAGAAATATTTCCCATTGCATTTATTTGATTTTATTTAAATTATCATATACAAAATGCATGCATACAAACAAAGCAAACAAAGCAAAACAACAAACAAACAATGAAACAAAAAACAAAGCAAGGCAAAACAGTGTAAAACAAAACAAACAAAAAAAACACAAAACAAAGCAAAATAACAAAACAAAAAGCAAAACAAATATAAAAACAAAAAGCAGATCAAAGCAAAAAAACTAAACAAGCAAAAACAAACACAAATGAAGCAAAACAACAAACACAAAGCAAAGCAAAATGACAAAAAAGACAAAATGCAAAACAAAGCATGTTTTGAATGTTTAAATGTAACAAAATAAATAAATACAGAAACTGTGAAAAACATAGCTGAAAAAATAACAGCTCAGATTAACACATATTTAGAAAATTAAAAAAAATATCTAGTCACAATTTCATAGGTAAATTAGCCTAACAAAGTTGTCTGAACAAACCTAGATTTTAGAATGTGAATCATTTATGTGATTACTGATGCAAGATTTTTGGTTTTGCTGTTTGCTGATTCATTGTTAGCTATTTGTAGCGTTGTGTGGTGTTTTTACTTGATGCTCATTGATCCTCAATATTGTTGATATTTAATTGATAATTGTTAATGTGTCTATATTAATGTATTTTCTTTACTTTGCAAGATGTTCACTTCATCACATAAACGAGTATAGAGTTGTCTACTAAGCAAATGTAACTTTAAGTCTACGAAAATGTACAGTGTCACTCCAAGTGGACATAAAACGAACACACAAACACATTTATGAACCCGAATCTCACATGGGCTAATAAAAGTGAGCATTAAGAGATTTATGCCTCAACGACGTTCATGGGACAAATTGCAAAGGTGGGGTTTATTAGCTGTCACACCGGTAACATCCATAACAGCTCTTTAATGTCACTTTCTGACATATTAATGTGGTAATCTCTCCTGAACAGAAACTGTTTGTTGATATGATCAGCGGCTGACCGTATATTTTCCTAATCGAAGAGCGGTGAGGCTAATTTCAATGCCTCTGGTCTGCAGGTTAATGGAGAAACGGGGCAAATCGAGCTGCATGTTAGTTTAGTTTTTGATAGTATCAGGTTTGTATTTGCCGCTGAGGCACCAAATGTTTCCCTCAGTCCACCATGAGCTCTTAAATTGCATATTTATTGGCCCAGTGATAGTTTAAAATTGTAACGCACATGTTGTTATGTTGCTTGCTGATAGAGATCTGCATTTAAATGATGCTTAATATATTTTTTATGGTTACAATCAAAACCGCAGTTCTGGCTGAAGTGTTTCTTCCTATAAAAACCTAATAAAGAGTATCTGTTCAGCATCTGCACGTCGAAGGATTGCTGTATTTATTATTATAAATACAAACGTGGCCTGCTGGGTCGTGCCGGTTCTGATGTGTTGTGTTTTGGTGCTTATCTGCAGACGACAGAAGTTTAAACTCAACTTCATTTCTGAAAGCAAGCCATCCTACTACCTTCATGTCTTCTCTAGACTGTCATATTTAACAAAACAGCAAAAAGTTCATTGGAATGAATGAATGAATGAATGCAATTAAAGAATACATTTTTAAATGAGTGAGATGAATGAACACGTATTTATAAAGAAATAAATTGGCCCAATTAGCACTCAAACAAGCTTTACATTATTGTAATGTAAAGAGCAGCAGGCGGCACATGCAATAGTACATTATCTATCTTAATCACATGCTGTTCACAGCGGTCTAATTATGAGAGAGTTTAATTACAGAACATGTATGTCTACATGTTTAGTGGTGCTTTGGCTTTTCTGCATGCTGGCTATTTAATGTTGGCTAATTTACTTTCTTAATGCGCATTCCTGGTATTACGTGCACAGTTTCTCAGTCCACACTGAGCTCAAGAACACTTTCTCCAATCAGTGGCATACTACAAAATTCGAAGACCCTCTGTAAAGGGTGACAGGAGCTCCGCCCAAAATTTATGACATCATGCATTTGTATCCGGTGCGAAATAGTGGAATATTAGTTTTAACCAACAGGTGCCAGTGGTGCAATTCTCAACAATTAACTGCAAACTCAATTAACTGCATTCCCAATAGATAAAATCAAATCATGTACCACTTTTTTTTTTAAAGTCATAG